AAAAACGCAGTGGGAGCTTTCTAAGCCCTTGAATGAAAAAGTTGGTGTCTTTAATCTTTAATAAAGAGCTGTGTATTTCCCACATGTTCATCAGATGATTGAATTAAAATAGATGTTAATACAAAAAAATAAAATAAGTTAAAAATAGGAAGGGATTTTTAGTTAAACTCTCTCTATTGCTGAGGTTTCATTCCCTTGTCTATTTTCGTGTCATAATCTTGCTAGTTCTCCAGTCTCATATAGCATTCTCCACCAAAAATAAGTTAGACAAGACCTGATGATTTTAAATGAGTCAATCTAAAGTAACTGTTCATTTAAAACAGTGGTCTCCAACCTTTTTTTATGCCCAAGATCACTTTTTTGAATCTAAGGGTAACCCAGGACCTGCCCCACCCCTTTTCCAAGGCCCCGCCCTGCTCACTCAATCCCCCCCTCTCTCCGTTGCTCGCTCTCCCCCACCCTCACTCACTTTCACCAGGCTGGGGTTGGTGTTCAGGAGGGGGTATGGGCTGTGGGCTGGGGCTGAGGGGTTTGCAGTGTGGGAGGGGGCTCTGGGCTGAGGTTGAGATACAAGAGGGGGTGAGGGGTGCAAGCTCTAAGAGGGAGTTTGGGTGCAGGATGGGGCTCCAGGCTGGGGCAGAGTGTTGGGGTGCAGGAGGGGGTATGGGGTGCTGGCTCTGGGAGGGGGATCAGGGCTGGGGTTTGGGGTGCAGGAGAGGGTTCAGGGTGCAGAAGGGGGTATGAGGTGCTGGCTCCAGGAGGGGGCTCAGGGCTGGGGTGCAGGAGGGGGTATGGGGTGCTGGCTCTTGGAGGGGTCTCAGGGCTGGGGATTGGGGTGAGGCCTCCCACCAGGCAGCACTTACCTCCCGTTGGCAGTGGGCGCAGCGAGGCTAAGGTAGGCTCCCTGTCTACTCCAGCCCCACACCGCTCCCAGAAGAGGCCAATGCGCCCCTGGGTGGGGGCAGGGGCCACATGGCTCTGTGTGCTGCCCCACTCTACAAGTGCTGCCCCTGCAGCTCTCCTGGCTAATAGAAGCTGCGGGGGCAGTGCTTGCAGGCAGGAGCAGTGCGCAGAGGGAAACCCCTACCCCTGGGGCTGTGAGGCCACGCTCGCCGCTTCCGGGAGCAGCGTAGGGCCGGGGTACGGAGTCTGCCTTAGCACCGCCAGAGATTGCTATCGACTGGGTGATCCTCAGTCGACAGGTTGGTGACCCTTTTCATCAAACATTTGTGCAGTTTTAAGAAACTCACTTTTTGGTGTCAGGCAATGCCCAGGGTCTGGTGCCAGCCTAAAGCTTATGGTTATCTTGGCATCAACATGCAAACATAATGTTTCACGTTTACCCATATTCATACACATACTGAAATTATTTTTTCGTATTTGAAAAGCAGTTGGATTCAGGAACAAATAAGTAATATATGACCTATCTGTTCATGAATCTAACTTAATGTTGCTGTTTATTTGTAATATCGTAACATCTAGGAGCCCTAGTCATTGACCAGAGCCCCATTCTGCTCGGTGTGTACACAAACAGAACAAAAAGATTGTCCCTACCCCAAGGAGCTCATAGTCTAAGCATAAGATGAGACAATTGGTAGATGGGGGAGTACAAGTGAACAGTCATCATGATAGGCAGTGATCGGGGCACACGAACAGCCTAGCCGGAGTCAAGTGTTTTGTAGGCATCATGGCAAAGGAGAGTTTTGAAAGTGGATAATGAGGTAGTTTTACTGATGTTTATAGGGAGCACATTCCAAGATTGATGAACAGCATGGGACAAAGCATGAAAACATGCTTGTTATGACCATTTTAACAAGTGGACAGTGGAGGATGACATAATGGGCCAACTGAAGGCAAATATCAACATGTTTGGCCATTTGTTACATCTTTAGATTATTTTTAAAATTTAGTTTAGAATGTGTATCCTGTTTTTATGTTGATTAGAAATGGCTCTTTCTTTATACTGCAGCAATGGAAAATCTGTGGATAAGGTCCATCAGTGGCTATTAGCCAAGATGGTCAGGGACTCAATCCCATGCTCTGGGTATCCCTAAATCTCTGACTGCCAGAAACTGGGACTGAATGACAGGGGATGATCACTAGATAATTGCTCTGGTCTGTTCATTCCCTCTGAAGCGTCTGGCACTGGCCACTGTTGGACGACAGGATACTGGGCTAGATGGACCATTGGTCTGACCTAGCATGGCCATTCCTATGTTCTTATGTGCCCACATTCCAGCAGCATGTTACCTTTTTTTTAAGTAATAGTAAAATATCACTAATTGAGCTTATTTTTCTTATAGTAAGAGTGAATTAATTTTTTTTCCAGCTGTGTTTGTAAATTTTTATGATTTAATAAGACTTACAATCGAGTCGTATACTGTACAGTAGACTTCAAGAGCAATAGTAACCCAAAATCGTTTTGATTAATTTTTATTGATTTTTCTACAGAAACAGATAACGTAAAGTACAAAAGAGTAAATGATATGTTTCCAAATACTGTACGCCTCAGGGGATGGCCAATAGAATTATCCAATTACGCAGTTTTACAACATATCAAAGCTGCAAGACCAGACAAAACAAAACCAGACAATCTTACCATAGACATTAAATGTTAATGGGGGGTAATAGAAATAAAATAGCAAAAGATGTACATGAATAGTGAAAGGAGGGAACGAAGGGGTTGGCAGCGGGGGAGGAGTTAAAAAGAAAAAGGGTTAGGAATGTCATTCTTTCTAGAAACATAGTCCAAATTTAGATAGCTGCTCTCTGTGGAGATAACCCAGCGTCAGCAGCCAGACCTCAGCCGAAAATTATGTCCTAGATTATTAATTGCTAATCTAAGTTTAACTCTGCCACGAAGACTTTGGTTCTTGAGTGCTCCAATGATCATTTTACAAAAATGGAAGAGTAGGTTTCTGCTCAGAATAGAGCAGTGGTATTCAGACCAGTCTGAGTAACCTAGAATTTTTTTTTAAGAATTAAATCTATTTAATCGAAAACCACCAGTTCTCAAATTTTTAAACCTCTGTCAAGTGAGTTATATATTCATATACCATAGATAAACTTGTCTGTTTTGTTTATTTGTGGGGCTGTCTCATAATAAAAAGTATAAATATATGTAATGTACTATGGGGGAGCAGAGGATTTGTTTTTAAACAACAACTATGACAAATCTTATTCTTACTATTTTTGTTGTATTTTTCATGTAGTCCAGAAAGAATTGTCACTAAAATGCACTTTAAAAAAAATAGCTTAATTCAGTGCTTCTTTTTCTACAAACATTAGAAATGCGGGCATACAGTAATTAAAATATATATAACATATATAATAAATAGTTTTTCTTTGATACTTCGTTGGCAGAGAGTCTATTTGAAAAGTTCATCTTTGGAAACTGATGGAACTAATTTGGTTTAGGAGCCCTTCAGAAGAAAGTTATTTACCACCTAGTCTTGCACCACTGAAGTTACTGGGCACTTTACCATCAGCTTCAGTGGCTACAGCATAAAGGCCTCATTTACTTACTTTTTATTGAAGATGGGGGGAAAAAATTGACTGTATAGATCAAATGTTGGCAGTACAGATAAAGCCATACAACAAAACTGAGATAGTATAGCTTCTCAATTATAGCAGGCATGCTACACAGATTTAGAATTTTTGACAAAAAACAGTTGCCATTAAATGTATTTAATCACTGTGGCCTTGATCCTGCTTTGGGTAGGCTACAGTGTTCATGTGAAGTCTATTAATATAAATTAATGGAGCCTCACGCAGGTGCAGCTGTCCACCCACAAGCTACACATTGCAATAATAGACTGCAATCCTGCAAAAACAACCATATTTTACTGCAGAAATATGGTTGACTACAATAAAAAAAATTAAAGATAAATGAAACTACTTACTTCATGTGTTAGACTGATAGCTGAACTATTGACCTGATCATGCTCCCTTGGCAGTCAGCAGGGCCGGCTCCAGCATTTCTGGCGCCCCAAGCAAAAAAAAATCGGCGGCAGCAAATGGAAAAAAAAAGCCGCAATCGGCGGCGGCAGTTCAGCGGCAGGTCCTTCGCTCCTAGAGGGAGTGAGGGACCTACTGCCCCCAAATTGCCGCAGGTGCCGCCCCTCTCCCTTGGCCGCCCCCGAGCACCTGCTTGTTAAGCTGGTGCCTGGAG